TGATTTCATTTAGGATTATACTCGTAGATATCTTATAGACTAGATAGCGTATCTCTTTTAGTAAACATGAAGCCAAGAATATTTCAGCGGTTACCCCCATTTGAATAGATGGTGGCCATGTGGAGTTTCTCACTCGGTAATAAACGCTTAGAAAACAACAATAACTTTCATCATTTGAATGGTTTAAAACTGTATTTGGAATAGGTTTACCTTAATATTTAAGTTCCGTGTTTAAGAAATAGAAAACATACGAATCTTCTCATTTCATGGGAATATCCTAAGTCTGCAATCACGGCTTCAATTTTTGTTTGAATTGTATAATAATTAAATGCACTATCTAGTGTATATAAGATATCTATGATTATACTACAGTCCATCATAAGAAAAATACTGCAATTAGTCTTTCTCACGCCGCCATTTTTGGGTGGCTTTTCAACAGAAGTCTGCGAAATAAGTCCACATAACAGCGACTTTTTACAACTTTTTGGACGAATGATGGTGAATTTCCTTTGTAAATGGTTAGTTCATTTTAAAAAATTGCTTTTCACATTGTTTTAATTGTCTGTTTTGGTTAACGAGAATTGGATGCCAACCCAAAAATGGCGGATATTCGTCATCGTGAGAAAGGCTAATTGTGATAATCATGAAGCGTGATTTTTCATCAAAATCATTCCGCCTCAATATCGTCGAAACAAAATGGCATCATGTAAAAATTCCATATATTCCTATAAGCAATGTTATGTTTGTAAATAAAAGCAAGATGTATATCTATCTATATATATCTATATATCTATATATCTATATATCTATATATCTATATATTTATATATATATATATACAGTATATATATATATATATATATATATATATATATATATATATATATATATATATATATATATATATATATATATTGTGCGTGATAGTATTATTACGTTAGCAGGGGGGAGGGCGAAATGTACAGTATAACGGAGTTCCTTGTTGTATTATTTACACGTGTTAATTAAAATACTAACAGTAAATGACAATACTGTATCGCATTGACTTATAGTTGGCGCAAGTTTTTTTGTTACTCTGAGTGTGCATCCACGCAGACAGGCTGAAACATTTTTGCCTATATAGGTACGGCATCGGTATCGAATTCGCGACTTTTGGGATACCACTGTGGCCAGGCAAAAGTTTTCAGTCTGGCGGGCGTTGATACAAACTCAGAGTAACATAAAAAACACAAAGAGTGTATTCACCTGAGTACAAAACATCAAAACATTGTACATGCATAAATCCTGTGTATAGTTAGCGTGTTTAAATAAAGTTTATCTATCTATAAGTTTATCTATATATACTGTATATAGACTATAACTACCAGCAAAAATAGAACTTCGACGTTTCGAAACCACGCCAGTGACTTGTAATTCCTTCACACGTAATAGTGAGCTTAAGATGCACCAAATCTACGACGCGGACGTGAAGAAAAAAGAAACTATTCCCACAGTTTCACTACATGAATAAGATTTGTGGCCTCCAGTTGGTAAACAAAGTCAGAGACACAAGTGAAGCAAAATGAAACTGGATTCCAAACATTAGCAACGGTTTTTATTGTCACGTCCGCGTCGTAGATTTGATGCATCTTAAGCTCGCTAATATAAACTATAAAGGCACAGAATATCCTCTACCCAAACCAACATGACGTCCATATATTGAGGGATATTTCGCTTGTAACTCGTTTCTGGTCTTGTTACTTTCGTTGCATATCTTACAGTGGTAAAAGTCTATGCAATCTGTATGCACGCCACACCCTTTCCCATGTGGAGAAAGGCATCTTTTGCAACTGTAGATTTCTGGACAACAATAGACTTTTGCTGCTTTGTAAAAATCATCCGTAGCAACTGGGCATTCACAATCTTCGTTTTTAGTCGTCCCACATGCCAAGCAGTTGCCAATTATGAGATCCTTTATGTCAAATGGGTAACACGCATATTTCGCTTTACGATAAAAGGCAACGAGATATCTTCTGTACTGATATATCTCCGTCAATGTTTGTAAAGAGATCTCGCCAAAGATATCTCTACGGATACAAGAGGCATAAAAGTTAGACATTGAGTGTGCTCTCAAATGCGAACACATGGCTAATAAACCATAATGTGTTGTTTGGTGCTTCAGGTAGCAGAATCTCTCAAAGGAAAACTCGTCATCAGCTAATTCCCGGATTTCGTGCTCATCTGCATTGAAAATTCTGTGTGATGGTGGAGGACTCGGGGGTATTGGGTATTCAGAAGGTGAAGATAAGTTAAAAGAGGAAACAGTGAATGCGGGTGATTCAGGGGTAAAGGAGGGTGACGGATATTGAACAGGTGCAAGTGATTCGGGTGTAGAATGGGTGGATCCAGGTATTTCGGATGTCGTGAGAGACTGGGACGATGTAGAAGACTCGTAAAAAATCCCTGCTTCCTTTTCAGAGATTATCTTAACGTAATCTTCCATCCCCATCTTATGTCTGTTCTTTAAATGCTGTTTAAAGTGAATCACCTCCTTTTCACAGCCACGTAATAGGCACTTCACACGGGTTTTATTCACCAGCGTCAATTTTAGGGGTTTGTTGTCATTCTCGCCCCTCGTAACACCAGGATGGGAAGCTAGCAAGTGGTTGTCAAGCCTTTTCAAAAATTTGCCAAATTGCGGACAATCAGAAATACGGCAAATACCAGCCTTTCCCTGAAAGCGAACAAATAGTAACATATTAATAACTAATTGCTACGTCATAATCGCTGCGCTTCTGGTCAAAAAAGAGTACTAAAACTAAACAAGTAAAAGGAACAAATTAGCGGGTTAAAATACATTTCAGCGAGCTGAATTTTAAATTGTTTACTTCTTCCGGCCGCTAATTTACAGTATGCTATCTCTGGCCGTCTGGGCAAGTATTTTTTTAGTTTTAATGATGAAACGACTGTAAAAATATACCAAATTCGGCCGCCCAAAAGAAATGATCTGGATTACTGGAATCCTTTCCCAAAAACATTCAAAACATGTTAATGTTGCGACAGAAACTTTTAAACAGCTACGATTTTGATCCATACATACAGTTTATTTTTATCTTTCACCATTAAAAAATACATTCAATTTGCTTTTTTCATACCGAACTATCACTTTATAATGTGGGTGAACTTTTTTTTATTCTTCTTCCTGTATTTTGAAAACTTTTTCGTGCTTTTTCAAAATAAATCATGATAGCGTTTAATTTTTATGCTGTAATTTAATGTCGGTCTTAATTGCTTCATTGACATTCATTGTCCTTGAATTTGAAAACAAAAATTCAAAGCCTTGAATATCCTTGAAGTTGTAAAGAAGTAATTGAGAGTCATTTATTGTTTGACATTCAATTTGCTCATTTTGCTGATACATAATAGCCTTGATTGTCCTTAAAAAGTTTTTGACTTTGGCTCTTCCTGACCTGTATAGACCCATTGCACTGACGTCACAAATCCTTAGAGTGTCCTCCAGATGCTCCCTGACAATATCTGTTCGGGTATAACAAGCACATACAGCGCAAAAATTAACCATTTTATGACAAAATTATTATATATTTTTACAAAATTTGCTTTGCTTACAAAAGTTATATTATGCATAGATTGCTAATTTGTCCTCCAGATGCATCGTCACCGGCGGTGCGACGTCATGTGCAATGGGTCTATAATACTTAATATAGTAATAGAGTTGATGTTCTTGGGCATAAAAATAATAAATATGTTCTTGGGCCTTCTCAAAATTAAGTTTAACCCTTGAATGATCTGAGTCAGGTCAACGTTTAAAAAGTCTAGTGTTTTAAAAAGTATATGAAAAGTTATATATTCTGATTGTTGATTATATAATCATTAAATTCTGTGATCAGTATTAGTATAACAGCAACAAGGGTTAACCCCACCCAGACTATTAACCCCCCCCCCCCAAGTACTCATTACTTAGGCAAAATATGATCTACCAAAGGCAGTGGTGGATTTATGGGGGGGGGGAGTGCACACCCCCAGGCTCTCGTCAACAGGGGTGCAAAAATGACATTTATCCTAATTCTAACCAACTTATGTTAAGGAATTCAGTTGGGTATCACTAGTTGACAATAGTGGAATAGCCAATATTAAATATTCTGAATTTTTCTGTAAATGTCCATCATCATAATTTATATTAATTCAATAATGAAATATGCTCAGCCCTTGCTAAAAATGCCCATTTGCAGGCTATTTTGTGTAGTAAGTAAATTTATGTTTTTATTTATAATATTAATATAAGTACATTAATACAATATGTAATTAATTATGTTGATTTTGTTTCTATGGTATTTGCATAAGGCTTTTTTATACGTTCACAGTGCAGTCTGCACATGTCTCGAAAAGCACCTTTGAAATTTGAAATCTTGTTTTGAGAATCTAAAAATTTTCTAGAATGTTTTCTCAGAATGCTGGAAATGCCATTTCAGAGACGGGGGGGGGGGGAGCTTGGCTAGTGGTTTCACCATTGGTTAGCACCCCCCAAAAAAAACTTTGCTGGATCCACAACTGATCAAAGGTGTAAAATAGTTTGCAAATATGATACACTACTTTCACATGATAAATGACAAAAATGTCTTTGACAATATTTGCAGTAAAAGGTAGGAAATAATGGAATAATTAATTTTGTTGAGTCACTTTTGAAATATTAGACTTCATTCTTTTTGCTGGTATCTTTAAGTTCAACAAGTGATATTGTACCACAAAAATACAAAATGCCTGAAAAAATAGGAATAAGAGGGCCCTGAAGGGGGGGGGGGGTCGTATTCTCATTTCCCAGCCCATATTTTGACTAAATCCCATTGTCCCAGAGCACAGATCCCATCATCTCAGTGGCTGTCCTGCTCAAATCTTAATCCCATTCCCATTTTCTATTGCTTTGTTGCTGACGAATCCCAGTCCCAGTGCATGAAATCCCATTTTCCCACCCAAAAATAAGCAATTCCCAGTTCCCATTTTACCCCTTCAGGACCCTCGAATAAGGTGAGCTGTGAAAAAATTATTAACCCATTGAGTGGCAATTAACACTTTCCCCCTGATGAGTAAAATCATCTGGCATTAGAGAGAGTAAAATAATCGACAGGTACAAACCACAAGTTGCAGGTTGCATGTTGGAATTTTGCAGGTTGGGAATTTTGCAAGTTGGAATTTTGCAGGTTTGGGATTTTGCAGGTTGGAATTTTGCAGGTTGATAATGCAAACTTAAAATTGCACCACTTTTTTAGTATTCTAGTATAATTTAGTTGTGCATTTATTGCGGTCTGACTCCTTGTCGGCGCCTCTGCTCTAAGGCTAGTGGCCATCACCCCCGTGAAAACATTCAAAATGACCAGATTGGCTGGGACCTACAGGGAGACCAATGTTTTGATTGTTGCGAGGTGCTGACATGATGTGGCGGCATTTATACTAGAATGTTGTTAAAAGGTTAACTAACTCTCGAGTAATGATATGGTAATTGGGAGCTTGAGTGGTCTCATAAGTGGGTGCAGAGGAGAGACACCAGTCATTCAGGCATTTTCTGAACTGCCACCATGTCATGTAGGCTCCTCGCAACAATCAAAACATTCATCCCCCTGAAGGTCCAAGCCAATCTGATCATTTTGAATGTTTTCATGGGGGCCACTAGCCTTAGAGCAGAGGCTAGGAACATGGCAGCAGGATAGGCTGATATCAAAAGCGCCAACAAGGAACTAGAATACTTTATAGTGGTGTAATTTTAAGTTTGCATCATCAACCTGCAAAGTTCCTGGCAACCTGCAAAATTCCAACCTGCAAAATCCCCAACCTGCAACCTGCGTTTTGTACTTGCCGTAAAATAATAAAGTCAGCTCACTCTCCATTGGAGCTTTTCAGTGATCGATTACATCAAGTATTTCGCTCATGTTACTTACTTAGCCTAGACGTTACTGTGTTTAATCCTAACCACACTGTCAACTTTCCCTCTGGGAGGAAACTCGATTTATCACTGCGAGGGGGACAGGAGAGATTTCTAGAGGGGTGGGGACCACATTAATAGATCCACAAAAAGTTTTAAGATGCGGCCATCAGCTTCTCATTTTCCACAAGAAATGCAATTCTTTACCCACATTTATAAATATAATGTAAAAACAAACATTGAAACATTCCCAGGTGCAAGAAGTAAATGAAATTTGATGGTTGATCTATGTTTAGTTTTGTAAGATTAATTAATTCGACGAATCGTTTTAATAAAACATATAACTCCAGCAGGATATATCAATAGAAATCAATATTTTTAGGATTGACTGCACTGTAAAATAGCCTTATAATTTTACTCAGGGAACAATGACATAGACGACATGCATGAACATAGACATGAATGGCAATCTCCAAATTACTTTTTTCTGTTTAGTGTGCATATATCTATTAAAGAATATACCACAATCGTTGTGTCGTTCAAAATTTAGGCTACTGTTATTAAGTTTTTAACGACACTGACACGAGTGTGCTATATTCTGTAGATATATTAAGATATTTGCATATATTAAATGAACACAAAAGAGAATTATAGCGTTGTTATTCAAGATTTTAATACAAATACGGGATACAGATTTCTGCCAGAAATAAATTCAAATGATATTTCAGAACATACACTCACTTTTGAAGGAAAATTCCGGCGATATCTTTTCATTTCAACCTCTACCGTCAAGTCTGAATGCTAGCTGTAAATACTTTGCTCGTGGTTCGTCCGAATAAACGCGCGTAATTCTAAATTTTGCGCCAAAACTATATTTTGCACACTACCCCGTTTTCCCGTTAATAACACTAAAAAATACGGGTGGGTTTGCGCCTCCTATAGAGTAATATCTTCAAACCTGACGGGGTACAAAACCACCCCGCTTTTATAAATATTTGAAAATCAGGGTGGATTTGTGTCTTGTCTAGAGTAAAACTATACCTTACTACCTGATGGGGTACAAAACCACCCCGTTTTTATAAATATTTGAAAATCAGGGTGGATTTGTGTCCTGTCTAGAGTAAAACTATACCTTACTACCTGATGGAGTACAAAACCACCCCGTTTTTATAAATATTTGAAAATCAGGGTGGATTTGTGTCTTGTCTAGAGTAAAACTATACCTTACTCCCTGATGGGGTACAAAACCACCCCGTTTTTATAAATATTTGAAAATCAGGGTGGATTTGTGTCTTGTCTAGAGTAAAACTATACCTTACTACCTGATGGGGTACAAAACCACCCCGTTTTTATAAATATTTGAAAAATCAGGGTGGATTTGTGTCTTGTCTAGAGTAAAACTATACCTTACTACCTGATGGGGTACAAAACCACCCCGCTTTTATAAATATTTGAAAATCAGGGTGGATTTGTGTCTTGTCTAGAGTAAAACTATACCTTACTACGTGATGGGGTACAAAACCACCCCGTTTTTATAAATATTTGAAAATCAGGGTGGGTTTGTGTCTTGTCTAGAGTAAAACTATACCTTACTACGTGATGGGGTAAAAAACCACCCCACTTTTATAAATATTTGAAAATCAGGGTGGATTTGTGTCCTAACCTGAGTATCAGGCTCTATTTTACAAATAGAGCCTGACACAAAACTTAACCTGATCGCTTTCCGCCCACAGCAAAGTTTATATTTAGTATCCAATCAAAATGTCGCAGGAGAAATTTAAATTTCACACAACGACAACAACAATCTAATTATAGCATAGGCGCTCACTAAACGGCTGAATTTAAATTAAAACTGCAATGAACTTATAAATTAACAAAAATAATCACAAATTAGCGAAATATATTGCAAATGTAGCTTATATTAAATCGCCACCCGATTGCTCTCTCCTCCGCAGAGGTTTCAGTGACTACAATGAGCTTTACATGGCGCTTGCCGTATTTATCAACAAACAGTGTCAGTGACGTATAATTATACTTTATAACTATACGTCAGTCGATAGTGCAATCTGATGGCGATTTAATATAAGCTACATTTGCAATATATTTCGCTAATTTGCGATTATTTTCTAATTTTACTGCAGTTTTAATTTAAATTCAGCCGTTTAGTGGGCCGGCTATAATTGTAGTTGTGATCGTTATAAAATATATCAACAAACAACAATAGTATAATCTAATTAGCACCAGCCAATCAAATGACAGATTTAAAAATCGTTTGTCTAATCGGCCAATCAGCGCTCAGTCCAGATTCTGGACTGAACAACCAGGCAAAATGCCACTTTTGTGTCAGGCCGTACTTTTCTCCCTTTCGCCCACGATCAGGCGTGCCTGTGCCCTAAAAAGTACGGCCTGATACTCAGGTTATTTGTGTCCTGTCTAGAGTAGAACTACACCTTACTACCTGATGGGGTACAAAACCACCCCGTTTTTATAAATATTTGAAAATCAGGGTGGATTTGCGTCTTGTCTAGAGTAAAACTATACCTTACTACCTGATGGAGTACAAAACCACCCCGTTTTTATAAATATTTGAAAAATCAGGGTGGATTTGTGTCTTGTCTAGAGTAAAGCTATACCTTACTACCTGATGGGGTACAAAACCACCCCGTTTTTGTCAATATTTGAAAATCAGGGTGGATTTGTGTCTTGTCTAGAGTAAAACTATACCTTATTACCTGATGGGGTATAAAACCACCCCGTTTTTATAAATATTTGAAAATCAAGGTGGGTTTGTGTCCTGTCTAGAGTAAAACTATACCTTACTACCTGATGGGCTACAAAATCACCCCGATTTTATAAATATTTGAAAATCAGGGTGGATTTGTGTCTTGTCTAGAGTAAAACTATACCTTACTACCTGATGGAGTACAAAACCACCCCGTTTTTATAAATATTTGAAAAATCAGGGTGGATTTGTGTCCTGTCTAGAGTAAAACTATACCTTACTACCTGATGGGGTACAAAACCACCCCGTTTTTATAAATATTTGAAAATCAGGGTGGATTTGTGTCTTGTCTGGAGTAAAACTATATGTTACTAGTATAAGTATGTGAGGTACGTTCACACGCTGCGATTTGTTTGTTTGTCTGTTTGATCTTTATTTAAGCTCAGAGGCCTGTTGTCAGAATCGAGATGATCTTTCGAGGCGCCATGACATTTGAATTATTTACAATATTAATTATTTACAAGAAAATATGAAACTATAGACATAACATGATGACTGTGAATTAAGTTTTCTCGATTAAACGACCGTGGAAGTTAAGATGGGCCTATAATTTGTGGAATATTTTGAACAGTAGGCAAGATTTCATTTTTTTTTAAATTTGGAAAGAGCGTATTTCATAATAGACAACTTGCATGTTAGACAAATTTTTTATTTAGGCAAGAAAAAGTAAATTCCTGTAAAGAACTTATTAAAATCAGTAAAATTGGAAAATTTGGTTGTGAAATGTTGTAAAATGCAGAAAATATAGCCTTGCGAAGTTTGCAATTTTCAGTCATTTTGTATTACGTGCGAAAATTGTTACCATTTTCGAGCCGAAAATGTAACAATTTTCGCACGTAATACAAATATGCTAAAAATATGGAAACTTCGCAAGGGGTTGGGTTAAAACGCGGAAGCGGATCGGGTTAAAATGCGGAACGGATGGGGTTAAAATGCGGAACGGATATGGGGTTAAAATGCGGAACGGATATGGGGTTATGGGGTTAAAATGCGGAACGGATATGGGGTTAAAATGCGGAACGGAACGGATATGGGGTTAAAATGCGGAACGGATATGGGGTTAAAATGCGGAACGGAACGGATATGGGGTTAAAACGTAACCCGAGGTTTAGGCCCTAATTTTAAATAGGGTCTGACACAAAACCTGTCTAGACCGTGGGACGCCCACATGTTATTTTTAGACATAGTCATGCGATATGATTGACAAGTGTTGTAGATTTCATTGCACAAAAAATTTATATTCTTATGAACATGTCCGCAGAGTGCGCATTTTGCTTTTTAATTAAAAAGCAAAATGCGCACTCTGCAGACATGTTCATGAGAATATAATTTTTTTGTGCAATGAATGTGTCAGATCCTATTTAAAATTAGGGCCTAAACTGCAGGTTACGATTTAACCCCATATCCATTCCGTTCCGCATTTTACCCCATATCCGTTCTGTTCCGCATTTTAACCCCATCCGTTCCGTTCCGCATTTTAACCCCATCCGTTCCGTTCCGTATTTTAACCCCATCCGTTCCGTTCCGCATCCGCGTTTTAACCTAACCCACTTCGCAAGGCTATATTTTCTGCATTTTACAACATTTCGCAACTAAATTTTGAAATTTTACTAATTTTGTTATTTTCTTTTTTACTGTTGTGTTTTATTCGCTTGTCTTTACTTAGATTAAAATTTAGTCTAACATACAAGTTGTTCATTGCTCGTATTAATTATTCTAGCTGGTCGATGATTTCTGTTATCCCGTAAACTTTTTCTGTAATTATCGCCCACATAACCACAGTAATCAAAATAGGGGAGAGTGATAGAGGATCGGTACGTTTCCACGCTGCGATTTGTCATATACGATTCGTAGTCTGGATGAAAATTAGTGCTAACCCCACAATTCCTCTTCGTTTAGTTTATGGCGAAACTTGAAATGCAACCCGCGTACGCGTGCTTACTCGATTGCATGCGTCAGAATACGAATCGTAGCCGACAAATCGCAGCGTGTAAAGCCCGTTCTCCACTAGGCGAATTTTTTCGCGCGACGCAAAGCGAAAAACAAATCTTGACAAAGTGACTGTTTAGCGAGAAAATTCGCCGCGAAAAAGTTGGATCAGTTCCTACTTTTTACTGTTCGCGCGAACAAATTCGCCTAGTGGAGAACAGGCTTGAATGTACCTTTGAACCACAGATGATAGATAATACTATAATCTATGCTTTGAACATTCAGTTGGCGTTGACGTACGACTAATCACACACACGTGACTTTGTATAGGTCGCTCGGACCGCGCGGACAAAGCGAGCGGGACGGAAAATTGCTTACATGTCATTACATGCAAGAAATTTTCCATTACGGTCGCTTATTGATTTTCCTGATGCAGGTATGATTTCGAAATGGAAGTTTCCTATAATCTAATACTAACACCAGATATGATATTTGGTATGAGTGATATCTGAACCATTTTAAAGTGCACCTAACCTCAATTCTTTTTATCATTTCATTCTTAAGAACTTCTGAAATTATATAATAACTTATTTTAAGATATTTCAGTTTGTTTGGTATGCAAATATTCTAAATTTACGTCACAAATGCATAATGACTTAAAGCAAAAGCTTGTATATCGTATTCACTATCGAGTTTAAATCATTAAAATGCAGTTTGGAGTTGTGGTAGAATTACACAAATCTATGTAAAAAACCATTTAGGCTTTTTATTTGATGGTATTTAACTGTACAGTACCTTACATTCTTTGAGCAGTCTTTATTCACATGTGACGTAAATTCCGGACATTTGGATACCAAACAAACTGAAATAACTCAGAGACAAAGTGTGCGAACGAAAATCGTCAAAATAAGTTGTGATATCATTTCAGAAGTTCTTAAGAATGAAATAATAAAAAGAATTGAGGTTTAGGTGCACTAAGAAGTTCATCTTTCGAATTTCAAATTTGCCGGACATGATATTAATTGATGAATTTTAGCAGCAAAAATCGAAGGCACGCATTTGCACTACGGGTGATCGGTGTCGTCTTCTTCTTCATCGGCGTCGCTGGAATCATAGTCGTCATTGGAGACATTGCCATCGTTGTGGTGATCATAAGCATCTGGGTGTATTTCGTTGGCATCATCCACATAATTTTGTAGAAGCTCCTGGAAATCATCCATTGAATTGTTGTTCAAATGTGCACTGAAATGACTAATTCCAGCAACAATTTGCTCCAGAACAAACTGAATGCCTTCATTGACCATGGCAAGCTTTCCGCGTAAAATTCCTTCTTCCTCTGAATTCGTTTCATAACAACCATTCTGTATCAATAATAATAATACACAAGAAATGTTACTTGACTGTGATTGGTTAAACTAGTTTCATATTAATCTGACACTGCAATCGAACAACGAAAAATTCGTTGGCTCGAGCGGGATTTGAACTCGCATCTTCGGGTATCGAGACCGCCGCTCTACCTATTGAGCTATCAAGTCAACAGGGATTGGTAGCGAGTTTTATCCAATTTAAGTGCACGAAATATTTTCGCGACGACTTAACGCTTGTCTTAGAGGACGCGCAGTGTTTCAATTCCATTTCAGAACCATCCTCAGAGATACGAAAAACTAGTTTCATATTAATCTCGATTAATCTGCTTTGCTAATCTGCTAATTCGCTAGTGGAATAATGGAGTGTTCGCTATAAACGTACTGTAAGTTTAAAATTACAATTGTCTCGAACATTTTTATGTAAATTATTAATAAGTAATAGCATGGTTTGTCGTGAAATTTGGCTAAACAGTCATGCACTCACGAGTTTTGCAAAAGCCTCAAATAGCACTCGTCCTTCGGATTCGTGCTATTTTGAGGTCTTTGAAAAACTCACTCGTGCATGTTATATCCAAATTGCATTCGAAACCATGCTATTATCTATACAAAGAACATTCTATCAGCGTCGCGTACATAATTCTCAAGGTTTCCAAAATACAGTATGTTACAATTTTCAAAAAGTATATTGTAGTATACAATACTATTATAAGTATTCTCCGGTACAAAAACATTTTGTATCTGATTGCGCTTCAATCATTTACATTTATGAATTACATATAAAATGGTGTTAAAAAATACCTCTGCTGAAGAATTCGAAGTTGCATTCTTAATACTGGTGTGATTTAATTCGGTATCTTCTTCCTCTGAAAATTGGCAAATAAACATGATTGCATGAGTGCGCGAATCTAAAGAATCGGTCAATTCATCACTATTGTAACAGCAGAAATTGTAAACAAAATAACTAAATTAATAAAAAAGAGACACGCAACAGATCACTTCGCTTTAGCTATGTAAGGGATGTGTGAATTAAATACTTAACACTGATGAAGATCCGTGCTTCCAAATCCAAAGTTTTTCAAAAATAAATTTACACTTATACCTTCTAAAATATATTTTAATGAGTCGCGCTTTCTTTGCAGCTCTGGAAACTTTCTTCTTATGTAAAATGTGAGGAACCGAATCATTTCTTCTTGAATAAGGCAAATTTCTTCATTAAATCTTTCCAATTCCATATACTTGTCCACAATTCCGCGCTTGGTAGATATTGTAACTAAAACGAAACCGCATGCAGCGTACTGCAGATCATGTATTTTCAACCAAAGATGGGAAACGTTACAGAGTGTGGATATACACTCATGCAGAGTAAGACCACAAGCATCATATTCACCTGAGTACATAACACAAAAAATATGATACCTACGTAAATTACAATAATGGTAAAGCTTCGAATACTTCGGGATTTATCTTGTATACCTTATCAGTCTTAAAGACATCCCAGCGGGCAAAATGACGTTTATCCAACGTTGAATCAACGTTGGAAATGACCTTCCAGACGTTGGAAAAGGGTTGACTATGCAAATTGGATCGACGTTACTGTTTCGACGTTGAAACAACGTTGAAATTAGGTTGCCAATCTCGTCAACCATAATTCAACGTTGAATCCACGTTAACAAAACGTTGAGATTGGTTCACAAATCGACGTCGTACATTTGTAACCATGAATGAACGTTAATTCAACGTCTGTTGGCTGCTGTTGAACCAATTTTTGTAAAACAACGTCAGAGCAACGTAGATATTAGGTTGTCGACGTCGCAACCTTTTTTCTACCAAATTTCAACGTTGAAACAACGTCGTGCGCCCGGTGGGATATTGCTTCACATGACAACATCAGAAGAAAATCACAAATGACAATTTTGTTATTTTCCCTATTTATTGCAATATTTTGCAGAACATTTTGTGCCCTAAACCCAAATTCCCAGAAAGAAAAAAATATTTTCCACCTCTAGTTAAAACTTGGAAACAAAAATACAAAACGAAAGAATTAGTTCATGACTTGACGCGCTCGCGCATAGTGATCTAGGGAATAGAGACAGAGTTGTTTTTCATACACCAATTTAACTAGACGAATATTGTAAAACGTTCACCGTTGTATGCAGGTATTACCTTCATCAGAAGTCTTTGATTCATCAGTCCAAGGAAATTTGCCATTGAGTATATCATTCAAATTGCTCAGTGGTTGGGGTGCGACTTTGTTGTAATTCAATAAAGAGTTTTCGAGGCCAGTTTTCTCTTTGGATATTTTCTTACGTATCCTTTTTCGTTGTTTTGATGAATCTATAAAAGTTATATATAATTATGAAACAGTCAGAATATGGAATACAAAATATGGAATAAATACCAACGATATACAGAATGAAGTAGTTGACCTTAATAGGCTCTTGCAAGCTGGCCCAAAAATACGTTGTGTAACGATACTGTATCTGAAGGGGACTAAAAAAGTGTTGCCATACTCCTTTGTTTCTAAATCCCACCGCCCTCCATTACAGTATTGTTCTCAATTACCTGCCAATTTTCCCATATTGAATGTGAGTTGGGCAATAGAAGCATGGTGATGCTCCATGTCTAATTTAAAATAATCCAAAGCCTTTTCTGTCAAAGTGTTTTCGCCATTGGAAAATTCGACGAGGTCTTTCGCTTCCAGTTGTGTAATCTTCTTGCCATATATTTTCTCTGCTACGTCAAACAAAATTTTTTGCTTTGGGGTAAACGCTTCCAAAGATAGTAAGTGCTGTAAAAACTCTTTTTCTTCGGATGACATATTTGCTCTTGTATTGAGAGATTCTTGTTTTACTAAAAATATACATCCATAAAAATGAATTTAGGAATTGATGAAAATTAATAAACTACAGCAAAACACACAGCCGCAAAACCAAAATAGTAATCAGCGTTTTCATGTGCCGTTCGTAATTCAACGACGAACACTATTGTACATTCAATATGATATTGTAACTAAAGTGGTACTTACAAAGAGCAGCAGCTAAAAGGTCACCCTTCCATATCGACAATTGAGCGTTCATGTTTTCTTCGGTTAGGCCAACAGCTTTAGCATTTTCTTCCAGCTGTGATTTGAGCAACAATGTTTTAGTTTTGACCTAAATAAGGACAAAAATGAGATTATATGAGACAAGGTACTGTAATATACGTTTATGCTCAGCCAAAGTAATGCAAAACATTTTCACTCATGGACGGATTTTCATATTTATTGCTGGGGTGGTACAAGAAATTTTAGGGGGGTGAGCCGTGAGCAGGTGACTGAAGCGATACAAAGTGTCACCAAACCCAGTAAGGTCTATATTCTAGGGGTGGAGAACTAGAGCCCCGAGGGGGAGTCTAGAGAGCAGAAAACAAATTTGAAAAAATCATGATCTTTCAAAACAAATTATCTCCTGTGGCTGTGACAACAGACATTACTATTTTGTTATACGACGTACTGTAGGAGGAAGAAAAATAAACAATCATTAGTAAGTACTGTAACATTTTGAGTGATTTTTATAAAAATTAACTAAACCTTTTTTTGCTTGCGTATAGACTACATGTATGTCTATGGTACTAAATTCGGAAAAGTCTTCAAATCACATACATGCATGCACATACATGTAAGTTCTTTCCAAGTAAAGCATATTTGGAATAACATAAATTACGTGTCATATGATGCCCTTTACTTTAAACCTTGAATCCATTTTGAACATCCATGAAAGTACAGTAGCCGGCCGCGGCGGGCAACAATTTTTCACTTGTTGGAAGGCGAGCACAAATAGAGTTACTCACCTTTGTATATCTCTTTGACAGAAAACTAGCAAGTTTTTGGATTTTATTCCGGTTCCATCGAAGAGCATGCTCAGTTATTAATTCTTCTCGACCTAGTAAATTACATACAACAAATATAAATCACAAGGAATGGTTGGGAAACCTCACACTCAAATCAAAAGGGCCCAGTTCATCTGAGAATCTTGCTTCACTACCGGGGCAAATAAAGGGCCTACGTACTGGGGTAAATACCCCAGTAGTTATATACCGTAAAGTCTCGAAAGTAAGCGCCCTGCTTACTTTCGAAATTAGTGGTCTCACGGGGCGCTTACTTTTGAGGGACGCTTACTTTTGAGAGGCGCTTGCTTTCGAAGAGCGCCTATTTTCGAGTTGTTATTTTCAAGATCGACCATTTCTAAATCCATGCTACAGAGTACATATGGTATACATATGGTTTGAAGAGTTTCTTTAATTTAGGAGTTTTTATTTAGATATGACCGGTATCTAACACTAATACCGTAAAGTCTCGAAAGTAAGCGCCCTGCTTACTTTCGAAATTAGTGGCCTCAAGGGGCGCTTATTTTTGAGGGGGCGCTTACTTTCGAAGCGGCCCATACTTTCGAGACTTTGCACTGTACATAACACAAGGAATTATAGTACATTTTACTTCAGAAAATTACCTTCTGGCAACATGTGTTTTGTAGACGTCCCCAACCTGGAAAAATGACTGTTGATTGCCTCAACTTCTTCACCAGTTGTTGCCGCAGCACCATTTTGCCATCGACCACCCCAAACATCCTAAATTGGATAATTTCAATTAAGTTGATTGTAATCGATTATTAGTTACTGTCATGAAGTCTCGTCCTTGTGTACTGTAACATCTTGTTAAATATTCGTAAGCAGCAGGGGTGGTTATTCCAAATACTATTCTAAAGACTGTACTGTATGTAAGAACATATAGTAAGAGCAACAAGTATGTAAAAAAGTCACACTTTCAAACAACTTGAGTCGATAATATAACCTTTACATGTAGTTAATGTACTTAATATGATACCATAAATGTAACTGTAGAATTGGTTCAAGTCCCTCTCAGGAGAAATGTACGATGAGACGGACTTGGGACATCTGCAGCATTTCGAATGTTACTTGAATAAATTGGCGTGAATATTTGTTATTGTTATCAACTCAAAAACCACACCTCCGCATGAAAAATCCGACGGTAAATTTGGCACGTTTGCGAATGCCGAAGTCCGTACGTTTTTCTCATATTTTTGTGTCTTTTATCACAGCTCGCGTGTATTTCAACCCCTTGAGCGACGGACTTGAACCACGTCTAATGTAACTGTATAGATTTCTCAAACATTGTACTCTACCTGACAATACCAAGCATGAGCCTTGGCATGCATAACTGACAAAGCAGGTTTCATCAGCTGTTGTGTCTTCTTGTCACATTTTCCTAACCAAGGCCAGTATTTACAAACGACATCGTACCAGAAAAAATCTACAGTTGGGTTGATATAGTGGTTGACTTGCATGTAGTGAGCATACCCGTAAATTTCACCTCGCATCATATTCACAGCATGTTGTGCTAGACCGTGCCTACATCCAGAAATTTCCAGACCACTTTCATCTAGATTTTTCTTCTTCTTAGGACTATTTGCTGCTGCGCGCCAAGTCGAGTCACCACATTTAATGTCTTGGTCCTCTGATCTCTACAATAAACACGTAAAATAAAAAAGTGATGACATAAAAATTATGTATCTTTTCTCTACATGTACTGTACTGTACTGTACTGTACTGTATGTCAAGCCATGTTGTAATGAATAACCATTGCCGCATTGGCGCAAGGCCTCAGGGCAAAGTTACAGTATATCAGGATTAATATTCTTAAATAAGCAATATGCCAATATGTTATATCAGTGAATATTGTGTGCCCCCTTTGGAGCCTAAAGTCAGAAGGCAAAATGCTCTTCACCCTCTCGATGGTGTTATCACTAATAAAAGAATCGCAGGTCTAAATCCTTTGTTCACCTGTTCAAAATGTATAGGAAGTAACCACGAATTGACTCCTCCTGTTCTGAAAAATTAATACAAATTGCTTACCTGTGTTCTTCTTTGTCCTTGATAAATCGATTCAAGATGTGAATCAACTTTTTCATTTGAAGCAATGAAAGCTTCGCCATAATAGCAACTCCTCCTTCGCCTGCAATACAATTAAATGAGTATGGGAGTTAGCAATAATAAGATGTTGAGCACTACTTTAATTTTAAGTCACTTTCAATTCAGCTCAACAGTCGACATCCTTGTGATGTTTTCAATCAGTTGTGAAATATGCAGTACAGTACCTTGCATTTTACTCTATACTGTACTGTTTGGCAGAAGAGGGAAGTACAGTGATTCGATACATGTGCATAGAGCTTAAAAAAGACAGGTGTAAAAGTCGGATCAGATTGCGTAGTCTGGCTGGGCCTTGATCAACCATAACTGCATCGCAACTTGTTGTTTGTTTTTCTTTTAGAATTCGATTGAAAAGGTGGTTGCAGGTATTCAGATCCTGGAACGCTGTGAAATGGCCCTGTTGACCTGTTGGGACATTCTATTGGGAGAACATCAAATGGTGTGTGGAGAGAGATGACAGGAAGTTTCAATTCATTGTGACTGATTTATAATATAGATATGTAGTGATAATACTGGTGATATACCCTGTATAAGTTGTAAAATGGTATATATATAGTGATACAAAAGTCTGAACATTCAAGCTAAAATAAGATATGAATAGTGAAACTGCAATGTGTATGACTTGATTGATTGTTTTTGTGAAGATCGCGCAGGCATAACCCGGGTGCGTTTATGTTTGATGTACAGTATTGTGATATTGCCAAGACCTGGGTGAATGCCAGTGTATCGCCACCCAGGCCAAGTCCCATGTGTTTTGTGTTCAAAACTAAGGTTATGTTCTCATCAAGTTCCAAGCATAACTGGGAAAGCACGTTTCGACCCCGCTAGCTGGTCTTGGAACTATGTGCTCGCATATAAATATTCATTTCTGTTCCCGTTTATATAAATTATTCCAGGATCTGAATAACTGCAACCACCTTTTCGATCCAATTCTAAAAGAAAAACAAACAACAATTTACAAAGCACAGGACTGTCTTCACTGTCACAGCAAGCTAGTCTAGACTTTGTACGGGCAATCCTCTTAGATCATCTCACAAGCAAGCTCATAAATGTCAAAAATCTGAAATGAATAATTAAGGCTTTGCATTCAAAAAAGTTTAAACACAACCTCACATGTGTACCCTTGAAAATACCATTACTGTAGCAAATTAATAACTTTCTGACAAAGGCGGTGGCATGCTGCTGAAAATTTAAGTAAATATTTATTAAATGTATAAATTTGAATAGAGTCGTAGCAGTGTTAACCAACAAATATACAAAAGCAACAGAGCAAAAGCAATAAGTACAGTTTCATATTTCCATCCACATGAACAGAATGTTGATGTTCTGTACAGCATGGACATTCCATCCAGTTAACTTCCCTCATACCATCCACTTCAAACTGCAGATACTTCCACTCCCGAAAAGAAGCTGAAAATGCTTTGTCATTTATAACACCAACCTATACAAAATATATTACAACCTTGCAAATCAAATTTGAACTGCAGCAGCCTTTTCTACTGAAGAAAAAATGATGTGGTCTGAGCACCTGGTATTGCCAAACCTTTTATTACTGTACTTAGTTTACAAGTGACACTATCCTGTTTTATGCAGGGACGAATTTACTGGTGGGTGCAGGGGGGTGCCACCCCCCAAGCCCTGGCCAGAGGGGTACTATTTTTTATGATAAAGCAAAAAAGACAAAATGAGGTACAGTAATTTGAGTAATAACATGATGATAAGTGAACTGTGAACAACAATTACAATTCAAATACAGTAGTTGATGGGTGGGCGGTAGGGACAGGCACATTATGCCGGCATTTCTTTTAGCATAATAGGAAACCCTTTTGAGATCGAGCACAATGGGCAAAGAGCGAGCATGATAGGCAACAAGTTTCGGTATGACGTCATTTTGCCAACGTAATTACGTAATACACATATGTGACAACCATCTGCGGGCCAGAGGACCTTGTTGAGGCCTCATGCACTTATGTTGCAATATAACAAACGTTAATTATCACAAACGTTAAATTAAATTAAGTTCTTGTTTTCTGTGCTCTTGATTGAATATGATACAGCATAATTATGGGCGTAATAGGGAAACATTTTGGGCATAATAGGGTAAAGTCAGGAGCATTTGAGAATAGCATAATAGGCAATTTTTTTAGCATAATGTGCCTGTCCCTAGTGGGCGGCACACATGACCGACACAACTCGGCAGTCGGCGCTCCTAGCAGATCATGCTGGATCCATCCCTGGCTTTTTGAGCTAGAATTAGACATGAGCTGTTTTATTACTTGTGGCATGCAGCAACACTATCATGCCATGTCAAGTACAGTAAGTACAATTAGACACCAGGGTTCGAATTAGAAAGGAAAAGTTGATTTTTTGTGCAATTTTTGTGCAAAGTGCAATTTTTAGAAGGAAAATTTTGAGATTCTTGCTCCCAAAATACTGAATAGACATCTTAAATAAAGTGTACAAAATAAAATGTACATACATTGTATGAGTTACAGTATGGCACTGTTGCCCTTCCCATATTTGAAACATGTCAAATTTGATTAAGATATGGGACATTGTATAACAAATAGGGCCATTTAAGTTGAGGTTAGAACCTCACTGTTAGGCTTCTTCTTTAGTTTTTTAAACTTTCAGACTATTAAAATAGAAAAACATGCCTAATCAATCTTTTGTTACAAGCGACGGCTGTGGCAATATTTTGCATATGAATAGGGTTAACTGTATCATACAGCATATTAAGAGTATTAAGCTCTACTCCAATCTGCATTTCAAATTGCAGAATGTACATGTACTGTACAATGTATGTCTTTAATTTTTTAAATTAACTCATTACTGTCGTTCCAATTGAACTGTTCCTACTGCTGACCAATTCATTTGATCAAGTTCCCCGAGATAATCATACACTTCCTAGTATAATTGTAAACTTCCTGTTGAATAGTTTGAATGCACCAATCACCTTTGTTGTTTGTGCAACTAACCAATCATAAATAGAAAGGAAGTGACCAGAAATGATCAAATACTTGAAATTGGCTCTTTTACAGGAAGTGTATGAATATCTCGAGGAACTTGATCAAATGAATTGGTCAACCTGAGGTAATGTATTGAATCAATATTTGAGGAACACTTCAATTGGAACGACAGTAAGCAGCAATGCATCTGTATGCGTACGGCAAGTATGCAAGTAGCTAGGTAAGTGGCAAGGGGGTAACAGTGGCGTAGCCAGAACGATAATTGGGGGGGGGGGCATATTCATATATTTGTGTTCTGCTTTATTAATTTATTTTGAAATCAATTGTTTTTATGGTATGTGAACATGAATATATGAATATGGGCCCCCCAATTATCGTTCTGGCTACGCCACTGGGGGGTAAGCGGCAATATATTGCACATATATTTACAAATATTGATTTTAGTTTTTATACCAGATCAACATACTAATTATACATTTACTTAATTTATTTATTTACATACCCTTCCTTTCTTTGATGAATAGCATTCCAATGACTTAATAAAGCTGGTTTGAGAAATTCCAGGCACTTGTTTTTGGAGAATATCCCAGTGCTGAAAAAGATCTTGGTGGAAGGCATATCTTACATTGGTGACACTTCCAGGCCAGAATCCCAATTGCACAAGTACCAATGGATCAGAGCTGGAATGGACACATTTACAATCAGGGCACATATATTCCCCATGGCTTACATCAAAACGTCCTTGAAAATAAAAACAAAATTTCAATATTTGGAACTTTACAGCTAATATTTCATTCAAACCCATTATATTTATTGAACCTTATGATGTGGATTCCTAACCCTATTTCAGCCATTCTATCCTTAACTCTAACCTTGGGTCCCTGACCTTACACACCAACACTGGCATATACAGTACTGTATATACTTACAGTCTATAGTAGAACAAAATTATCAATAAGTCTGTTAGATAGTATTGTATTTTTAAATTGTCCTATCGATATGCATGGCTCACTAAATTGACATGGCATGTAGAAGCATCAAATTACACTTTTCTTGTACGACCATTTTACCAATTTATCAAAAATTTACCATTCTATTATGAAATAATTTTTGTTTCTTAACATTGGGAATACTGATTGACTAACTGTACCTTTCATTGTAACAGCAATACAATGACCACTTTCTATACCAAATTCAACCTCTTGTTGAAATGAGCGAGGAGTGCAGGTTGTGCCACATGAAGGACATGCCACTTCACTGACTGGAAAAAACTGACCTTAAAAATATGAGGGAACATGCAAGTTCATTCATTGCCACTTATACAAATGAAAGGTTAACTGAAGTGCAATTATACTGTGCAAACACTAATACAGGGCTTCAAATTTGAATTTCTCAGCAATATCCAATGGGATACTAGCAACTTAAAATCTAGTATCAACTCAGAAAATCTACTGTAGTATCCCACATTTGCAAAACATTTTTCGTTCACTTGATAATTTATTTCAATATGTCTTTCTTCAACTTGTTCATCAGTTAATATTTGCTGTGTCTCAGTAGATTTTTTTGTTTGCTCAGTTCGTATAATGTATCTTAACATTTTACCAACATATTCTGGATATGAGTCCATGAAGACGAGCTATATTTCAATTGACAGCGTGGCATGAAATGTTTGTGTTGATATGGTAATTAACTTCAGCCAATTACTTTAATGAATAACATAATTTTTTCAGTATCCATCGGAATACTGAACTTGTGATTTACAGTATCCAAAATTAAAATCTGGTATAGCTGGTATAGCTGGGATATCGGGATACTGCAAATTTGAAGCCCGGCTAGTACACTGTATTGTACAATCAAAATTGACCTAAATGTTCTACCAGTAATGAGTTAAATGAGTTAATTAAAGAGACTGAGCACTTCCACCCAATGGATTACGGTAATCACATGCATCTGCAAATCCATCCTTTAATCTCAAGTGGTAATGCAACCTGACGCTCCTTACTGTACATTATTATTTACTCTGCCTAAAGTGCCAGATGAATTCAGTTGTCTGTACTTATATTTTGCACTAAGAGTAAGTATACTGTAATGGTTTCTTACCAACTACAGATGTCCAATTATTATCCCTACTGTCCATGATGACGCATGATGAAATTGGTTCAAAATAACCATTATTAATGGCTTCTCGATCATGGAACTGGAAATGTTGATGTATTTCAATATCACACTTGCCACATAAATACTTTTTGAGGCCACATTCCTCACACCTAATAATTGCTTTTTCACCACAATTTTTACATAACAGTTTGCTGTGGTCAACCCCAAATTTAGTTTTCACCAGCATTTCAAAAAGGGGCTGCCTCATTTCAGACCAACTTTCATTAAATATCTCCATTCTTTTATCCCAGCACTTAGTCAGTTTCTTTTTAGTATCCCATGCCACCAAAAGTTCACTTGCCTCTCTGAAAATATTCTTTAATGAATCATCTGGCATAGATTCTACAAAATAAAGAATTGCTATAATCTCAGTACAAAAATTTACAATTTAATACATACTGCAACTTTTGCAGGGGAAAGGTGGTTTTTAGCCCTGGAATTCCTCAGCCTCAGGATAAAAAATCTAATACTATGAAATTCCTTAGGGTTGGGTATGTATTTCAAATGAGAATTCATGGGTGAAATGAAATGTGAAAAATTGAAACTCTTCTGGGCCAATGACTGGGCCTGCACTTAATACATTTTCTTCAGGGGCTAAATAGAAGCCTACAGTGTGGCTTCTTGATACTAGGCAATAATATTATAATAATATTATACCAAGGGGACTTATAGTTTGATTATAGTGAGGCTCATTTCAGATGTCTAACTTTTAGTTTACTTTTCATGTGCCGAATGCACTAGTTAAAGACAACAAATATAAATGCTAGATAGTTCACATGACTATATCTAAATATTGTTTTTAACGCATTCCGCACATGAAAAGTTCGATGGGCCCAAGTATTTTCAAAATTGTTTTATTTTTACAAGAACCAAGCACACAATTTTAATAATATGTATAAAATAAAATTCTACGCCGAAGATACGCCAATATTTTATATACTATACATTGTATTGTGTTTGCCAAACTCACGCCGGATATCTGTGCACAGAATGCACCCTGGACTATACAGTCTATACGCAAATTATGTGCCGAGTGGTTATATTACTACCTTAAAAAATAAGCAGAAACTCGACGTTTCGAGCGAAGGCCCTTCGTCAGTAATATAACCACTCAGCACAGCATTTTCACATTGGTACTACCTACACTGGTACAGACAGTTTTAGTATACGCAAATTATGCAACAATTTGCATCCATATTTTCGGACAGACTGGGATAAATGAAACTTTTTATAATACTGAAAAACTCTTGCCTTCAATGAATGGGTCAATACTTTCCCCAGGATCATAAAAGGCGCTTGTGTCTCCGACTGACTGCGCTATAATTTCTCTCGATCGACTAGTTGGACCTCGTGGCGTATATGTATTTTTGCAATTGCGCCGACCAGTTGTTGGGTCATTACTGAACTCATAGTGCACTGGCTTTCGTTTTCTTTTTCTTTCACCTAAATGATCCTTTCCCTGTCGAATGAGGTCTTCAATTGATGGCAATTGTTTCTTTTTTGCAGAGGAATACGCATTCACACCGCTCTGTTTTTCCGCCATCTTGAAATTTAGCATGTGCTTATTACTCGTCCCAGGATACTGAGTGATCACACGGTGGGTGCCGCGAATTGATGATATTAGTAAATTCGCTGGCTTTTGACATTTTATGCATATAGTAAATCCGTCTTGGAGCTCATGTTGAGGAATTCCTATAGCCATTTTCCAATCCTATAGGAATTCCTATAGGAATATTTTTTCCTATAGGAATTTTTTCACCATTTTCAATTCCTATAGGGATTCCTATAGGAATTTTCAATGCCTATAGGAATTCCTAATAGGAAATTTTAATTCCTATAGGAATTCCTATAGGAATTTTCAATGCCTATAGGAATTCCTATAGGAAATTTCAATTCCTATAGGAATTCCTATAGGAATTTTTTTGACCATTTTCAATTCCTATAGGAATTCCTATAGGAATTTTCAATTTATATAGGAATTCCTATAGGAATTCCTATAGGAATTTTATTTCCTATAGGAATTCCTATAGGAAATTTTCGTAAGGGTTGATCTTATTTGCTTGATCTTCTAAGGACAAATTTAAGAACTCTTCGACGTTCATTAGATTGGAAGTCCCTCATTGGTTTTGAAGTTACAACTCGCTCCACCATATTATCAAAACAAAACATTGGATCCTTCTTGCTCAAAAAAGGTGTGAGGTTTTCATGTCAAAAGTCTAAAGTTCATCAATGATTGCAGGCATGGGTTACTGTTCATGTTTTGGTGGGTGGTCATCTCACTGATCTCAAAATATGGCTGTTTCCCAGGAGTGAAAAAGGCAAAAAATACATGTATTGAAAGCTTGGAAAATCGTTTCACATAACAAATTGTAAAACTTTTCTGCAATTTTTAAACATAAACATTTATAACAATTGATACAGTATGAGAAATCCTAAAGTATGTTTACTTGTTTATGTATTAATGTAGACTTTGTTCTTGATGTTCAAGTCTTTCCTATTAAACATTAAATTATTATTAAAATTAAAAATTAAGTATGCATTGTTTGCAAAAGTTTCTTAGTTAAATTAACTATTGTAGAAGTTCATGATAAAAAGGAAAGCAAATTATTTTTATTAGCATCCTGTAGGAATTAAATTTATTTCATTTCAAAGTGAGAGTAATAAGTTGAAGCTCGAGTTGAGAGTTTATAAATATCAGCAAAAAGCAGTTAACTTAAAATAATAGAATAGAATAGAATATATTTGCTCACAAAAATATTTACAATGGAAATATAGTTAAAATACAAAAATATAAAGGAGCTAGGGACCTTTTGAAATCCTGTTGGACTTTTGATATAAGGCCCCTATATTGTTTTGATTAAAATAAAATACATGAATCTAAATTGGTTCAATATATATAATACATGTTTTAGCTAACAATATTTATATTAACAAGTAATTTAATTTTGCTTTTTTCTTAAAGGAAAAATACGATTTCTTCATCAAGACAATTCCATATCGAAATTCCCTTGTTAAAAACAGTGAACACGATAGTTCGTCCTTTTGTAACTAACGTGTAATTTTGAAGAGTTTCGCGTATTATAATTATGCAATTCTTTATTTTGAATAAAATGACAATTGTAAAGGTTTGGCAAATTTTGATCATAATTCATGCAGCGATACATAAATAGACTGCAAAGATGATCATTAATTTTGTAGATATTCAAGATTTTAAGATTAAAAAATAAAGGTTCTGAATGATCTGTTTAAGATTTAAAACACATTAGCCGGACAATTTTCTTTTGTATCTTTAATAAATTCTGTAATCTTGTTGGATATGTATTTACCCCAAACTAGATTTGGATAGACCATTGCATAGTAAATCAATTTCAAAGTGTTTTTATTTGTATAATGTCTTAATTTAGCAATCATACCTGTAGATTTAGTTATGCTTTTTAAAACTGAGTTGATGTGGTTAGTCCATGTCAACTTTTGATCAATAGTGACACCTAAGAACTTCACGGAAGGCACCTGTTTAATTATATCATTATTTATTTTTATTGTTATCTGTGAATCCAGTGATTTATTTTTGCACTTAAAAATTACACTTTGTTTTGGATGCATTGATTGATAATTTATTTGCATTGAGCCATTGAACTACCTTATCAAGTTCATTTTGTATAGTACTAGATAATGTTCTCTAGCACAAATTTGAATAGAAAGCATTTGTATCATCAGCATATAAAACGAAAGAAATAATATCACTACAGTTCTCAATGTCATTAATGTATAAAAGAAATAATAATGGACCAAGAATTGAACCCTGTGGGACTCCTGTAGTAACATTCATTTCAGATGACCTATGCTGTTTAACTTTTACTATTTGAGTTCTTCCGTTTAAATAATTCATAAACCATTGTAGACATGTTCCTCTGATCCCATAGTGTTGTAGTTTGGAGAAGAGAATTTCATGGTTTACCGTATCGAAGGCCTTAGAAAGGTCAAGGAAAACTCCTATTGTGTATTTACCTTCGTCTAAAGCTTTTGAAATTTTATCGGTTAGATTTAGTAAGGCGTCTTCTGTAGATCTATTTCTTCGAAAACCATACTGATGATTTGATAATATGTTATGTTTTCCTACATAGTTAAATAGTCGTTTGTACATAAGTTTCTCTAGTAATTTTGAAAAACATGTCAAAACCGATATTGGTCTGTAATTTTCAAATAGATTATTTTCATTTGCTTTGAAAATAGGAGTCACTAGAGCTATTTTTAGAAAATTTGGAATTTTTCCAGTTAAAAACGTTGAATTATAAATATGTGTTAGAGGTTTAACAATTTCTTCTCCTATTGTTTTTATCATCTTGGCGGTTATTTCATCGTGGCCTGCGCTTTTATTTTCATTTATTTTATTAATTTCAGTCAGTAATTCATGTTCTGTTACAGGCTCAAAGAACATGCTTTCGACATAATTACCACTAAGGTACCTTTCATGTGATATATTGTTGTTCTTCGGAATTTTTTTGGCTAGTTGAGGACCAATTTTAACAAAATATTCATTAAATTTGTTAGCAATGTCAATGGGATCAGTAATGTTCCTATTTGAATTTTTCTGTAAAAAATTGTCGGGAAGTTTTTCTCTAGTTTTATTTCTATTTAGAACTTTGTTAATAGTTTGCCATGTCATTTTCATATCGTTTTTGTACTTCAAAAATTCGTTTTCATAATAATTTTTTTTCGCAGTTTTAATAACATGATTCAGTTTGTTTTTGTATTTTTTGTACACTGTTTCATTTCTACGAGATGGTTTTTTTAAAAAAGTTTTATATAGCCGATTTTTCTTAGATATGGACCTAAAAACACCAACTGTCATCCAGGGACTTTTTTCATGATCAAAAGATTTGTTTTTCATTTTTACAAAAGGAAAATTCTTATCAATTGCTGCTTTTAAATTATTATGAAAAATGTCATAGGATTCACAAGGATCATTTGTTTGAAACGTGCGTGACCATGATATATTTTTGACAGATACTAAAAATGAAGCGAGACTGTCGTTGTTGATAGTTCTTTTGTATCGTATTTTTACCGTTTTCGATTTATTTTTATTTGTTGATAAGGATGATATATGAAAAATTGGAAGATGATCTGAAATGTCAGAGAAAATTAAACCATTTATGCCAGCTTCTATCTGTTCAAGGTCATTGGTAAAAATATTATCAATTAAGGTTGCAGTGTGCTGGGTGATTCTAGTTGGTCTATTAATAAGTGGAAAAAAAGATGAGGTAAAAAGTTGCTCACAGAATCTATTTGAATAGTCACAACTATCGGTTTTCAGGAGATCGATGTTAAAATCTCCCATCAAATATGTTATCTTTTTTGTTTTGTCAACTTCTGAGAGTATTTCGTTCAGTTTATTTTCAAACATTTCAAAATTACCACTTGGTGGTCTATAGATATTACCAAGGATAATATTTTTTCCAGTGGTTGAAATTATTTCAATGAATAGCGTTTCAATTATTCCATCCTCGTTTATATTTAGGTCAGGACGTAGTTTGTAGTGTAGATCATTTGAGACATAAATACCTAAACCTCCTCCTCTTTTACTTACTCGGTTTGAACAAACAAAATTATAGTTGCTTAGGCCGAAATTTTCACTGTTTTGTTCATTAAGCCAAGTTTCAGTTAAACTAATTATAGAAAAAGGTTGCTTCAAAGTATTTAATAGATGTTTAAATGCGTCAAACTTGTTAGCTATACTTCTAATGTTAAGGTTTAGTATAGTTAAATTTTTGTTTTCATCATTAATTGTGGGAAAGTCGTTCGGTAGATGATAATTGCAGGTTACGTATTCTGAGTTTTCCGTTAAAAAATTTTCATTGTTTTGAAGATTTAAAATGTCAGTGTTAGTGTTAAAAGGATTAAATTTTAGTTGCGTTAGTCTATCCGTATCCTCTTTGCTCGGAATCCGATTAAAATTACCGAAAATAAAATTAAATTCTAAATCATCTATTGAATGGAAAGGAAGCAAATTACTTAAACATGTGTCGCATATATCAATTTCCGTTTGTTGACATCCGAGAGTTAATTTCATACACGCGGTGCGCGCATGAAACCATCCCCCGCATGTCAGACAATTTATACTTTTTTTATTTTTACCTATTATAGTACAACAGGTAAAACAAACTTTCTTACCTAGTGTTAGATTTGCCATATCTTGTGTATATTAGTAGTATAAAATACGTTCGAGAGAGTTATAGTATTGAAAATGTTAGTTTTGATGCGCTTGAGGTTTGAACTCAACACCGTTAATAAATAATTTGTCTCGGACCATACGTAGTACTCTCTGTTTTGCTGCTTTGGCCTTCTTCATCTCCAGATACAAAGTTTGTCTGATCTTCTCGATTTCCTCTGGAAATTGCTCAGCTATTCCAATGCGAGTTCCTCGGAGTTTCCTGGCGTTTTGGCGGATAAATTCACGATCTCAAAAGTAATTGAATTTAACGACTATTGCTCTCGGTTTACGTTGCGTGTTGCGTTTCCTTCCGACTCGGTGTGTTCTGTCGATTTTTATCTTATTCCTGGCATCGGGAATCTCTAATTTCTCCTCGAGAATCTGAAAAATTTTCTCATCAGGATTTTCCTTTTCCTCTTCTTTGACATTAAAGAATAGCAGGTTATCGCGCATTGATCGAGCTTTCAGATCGATGACGCTCTCGTGTAGGCGTCGAAATCTTGTTCAACGCAAACAATCTGCTTGAAATCTTGTTCAACGCAAACGATTCGGTTTTTGATCTCATCTAGGGTATCTAGTTTCGCCATGACAGTTCTGATCATCTCGTAGATTTCGTCCAATTTTTCATGATCTAATCGTTTTTCTTCGCTTTTTCCTGGTGATTTGCTTGGTGTACTCTTTGATTTTGCACTTTTCATTTTCGCGGTCTCGTTAGCTGGATTATTTAGGGTAGATTTAGATTCTATTTGTCTACTGCTTTTCAAAGCGTGTTGTCGTGTCAACATGATATATACAAAGTCGTCGAGAAAGAGTTCAGACAATTGTGTAATTTGATAACATGGAATCTCGCTTGACTTTCAAAGGCCATAAATGGTTACAATGTTGATAATGGCTAAAACTATTGTGCAGTGAACCGAAGATATGAACATACAAAGTCGTCATCCTCTCCCACAGTTATACGGCATTCTTCGTATTGCACTCTGCTCATGTTATTGACAAAACCATTTTATTGAGTACTCATGTTATTTATGCACAACAGCAGAACTAACCATAGATAACTGACTTTTGCCCTACACTCGCAAAGCATTAGTAGTAGTGGGGACAAAGTACTCGATTTTTTAGTGGGGGTGTGGGAATTTTTTTTTTAATATAAGATTGTATTATGAAAAGAGCTGATTCAGCGAAAAAAGTGTTGTGATTGTGTTCCACGGATGGGGGTAAAAATGATATGGTGGCCAGTCCCCCAAAATGTCGGGTTTGTATCGCTCGGCCACTGTAATCGTTGCGCAATAGTGTATTTTATTGGCCACGTGGACCGGATGTGTCTCCGAAGCCCTGGTTGACCGCAGTGATGTATTTTGAATTTGGCGGTGATTTTAAAGTGTCCGGTGTCACGTGACATTGATTGACAGCGGTGACGTCACATCCGGTTTGTGGATCGCGTGGGGATAGTAAGGGGTAGAAATAAAAATATGCAAATATTTTATTTAAATATTTTTTTTTATTTAATTTTTTATTAAATTTAATTTAGCAATATTAATTTGTCCATTTTTAGTGTGAAGTTTCTTCGAAACTTCACAGTATTGTGATGACTGGGAGGAAATTCAAACTTATCAGTCAGTCAGTCATTCAGTCAGTCATTCATTCAGTCAGTCATTCATTCAGTCAGTCATACAGTAAACTTTCCGGGGGGTGTATACGATTTATGTTCGTAGTGATTTATTGTGCTTTGTCAGTACTTTGAAGGTTATTTAAGCAATTTCAGTTAACTTATTTACATATTCTGTTATCCTTTTGCCAAGTTCACAAAAATTTTGAGGAATCGCTTTTGTTATTGTATTTTTTTGTAAATTTTAGAACATTCGCTTCTCATGTTGTGTAAAGGATCTTCACCCCGGAACACCCGATTTTTTTTTAGTAGCGCAAATGCGCATGCGCTATCAAGCCGTAGATCACGATGGCGTGACGATATGCTAGGAAGGAGTGACAGTGTTGTTTTCAGATCTATAAACATTTCAGATGTGAATATTGAGTAAATTTTTGAAAATCTACGCAATATATAAATTGATCTTATGCATTACGGGCGTTCAATTAAGTGTCGATAATATTTAGACGGTATATTCATTATACAGAGCTAGGAAGGAGCTAGACCGCCTAGACAGTGCAGTCAACACTCAAGTGTATAAACATTTCAGACGTATTAAATATTGAGTCGAAAATCTTTGAGACTCTAGGCATTCAATTGAGTGCTGATATTATTTTCACGGTATGCTCATTATACGGAGGTACAGTACGTACGAAGAAGCGAGACTGTTGTTTTCAAGTATATAAACATTTCAGACATGGATATTGAGAAAATCTTTGAGATTCTACGCAATAATATAATATATAAATTGATGTTATAATTACCGGCATTCAATTAAGTGCCAATCAATATTATTTAGACCGTGTATTCATTATACATTGTCATTGACTGTATAAGGTGCTACATCACAGAACTCAGTACAAAGAGCAAAAAATTGCATCAGATCTGCATCAGATCAATAAAGCGTAAACAACTATTAAACAGAAGCGGGTGTTTGTACAGGCATTTATGAAGAAAATATCGCGAGATGAAAGAAATCAGTTGAGTCAGAGCTCCTTATTTAAATAAGAAAGACGAGGAGATAGCCAATGTGTTATCGCCAACGTGTTATCGCCAATCGCTTGGTTCGCCAACAAGATTTATGAAATGGAAGAAAAAAGCAAGGAGGTACATGTAGCCAACATGTACTGTCACAGACCTTGTTTACTGTCTAGCACAACGCCGTTGTCAACGGTGCAAACTTGTGTTCAGTGCAACGATAACTCTACCAGATCTTACAAGAATCAATCTGTAGTATTCTGTACACAGAACTGTATCAAAGCTTGTCAAAACTGCTTTAAACACTGCAGCTATAACTGTGAAACTATTGAAATCTAAAGTGACATTATTCAACACATGCGAAAAGCTGAAAATAGACACAACGTGACCTTCGAAAAGTCAATGAGACTTGTTATTGTGAAACATGTCACAATTAGGTTGGATGGAGCGGATCCATGGAACGGATATGCGGATAAAATACAGAACGGATGAAGATAAAGTGCTTCCTTTCAATGATATAACGACGTAGTGCTTATTATTATAACATATTGTATACAGCTATTTCAATTATAGTTTTAGATAAGTTTAGCATAGCAGTAGCCTCGTGGGGATGCTTTTAGCGACAGCTGCAAATACAAATGCAAATGAAATTTAGAATATGCAAAATTTGGTTGTTGGTGAAACAATTGAAATTTAGCATGCGTGTAGCATCACAATAAATAGATAAATTGTGTCAGTTTCACAAGGCACGTTTCTGATGTGTCAGGCTTGTTTCAAACGTCGTGCGCCGAGCGCATGAGATGAAATGCCTTTGGTAATTGTTTATTTCGTAGTGTAAGCTATCAGCTTTTCTAGGTTGTCGGCGAACCTATATAGTTCTTGCAGTGTCTTTTTCAATTTGAAACTTCACACTATCCTTGGATCCCTAGTTCCGAACTATATTGTTTCTTGCTCGCTCTTTTTCTTTTCATAAACCGGCTTGAAAAAAAGAAAATAAAAAAAAAGAAAATAAGAAAATAAGGTTGTGTCGTGTCCGTGGTGTGAAATTACTAATGATTACGGCTATTGTGTATGTGAATAAAAAAGCGTGTACAGTTTTAATAACGTGTCATATGGCATCAACAAGGTGGACAAAAGACCTCTGTAAATGTGTTTGTGATGATCAACAATGGCAACTTCTAGATGAAATAGGGAAAGTAAATACACAATGTGAATGTAATTGCTTGTGTATGATATGTAAAATTCGCCAGGAAATTTTAGAGAGGGAAAATAGGGAAAATAAGCAGTGTTTTTGGTGTAAAATTAATAATATTGTTAAAAAATATGCTCATTGTAAATGTGAATATGTGTCTGAAAAATGTGATAAACCGGATGTGTCTGGAAAACGTAAAGTTGACAAATGTGACTAATGGAATAGGTGTGAAATTACTAATGAATATGCTTATTTTGTGTGTGAATGATAACCGGAAATGTGGTCTGGAAAATGTTATTTAAAGTTGACACATTGTTGGGGTTTGATAAATAAAACGTGTGGCTGCACGTGTGCTCGTGGTGTGAATGATAACCGGAAATCTGGAAAATGTTATTTAAAGTTGACACACATTGTTTGATAAATAAACGTGCGGGGAAATGTGTATTTCACAATACAGTTTAATTCTGTGTTGTTATGGCTGAAATTGAAGTTATGGCCGAAGTTATGGCTAAGATTCCCGAAGAGAAAAAAAATACAGTCAAGACTGTGGACGAACAGAAAAAAAAGATTATGAAAGAGGAAAGATTATGGAAGAGCATTATTGAGAAAAAGTCAAAGATTATGGAAGAGGCAAAGAGAATCGTTGAAGGGGAAAGTGGTACGTTGTCACATAATTCGGACGACGAGTGGTTTGATGATGAAGATGAAGATTTTGATTTTACCAATTCGCCAGGTTTTTTCGAAAAAGCATGGACAGACGGGTTAAAAGAACGTGATGACATGCAGCGTGGTTATTTAGATATAGCGCAAAATAAAGAAAGTCAAATGGACAATAAATAAAACACTTGTAATTTTATTTATAAATTAATAAAGTACAAATTTAATTTTCCAGTTTTTGTTCATATATTATACACATATTTTATTGTTAGGTTTGTTGCGAATTAAAGACACAATAATCCTAACAATAAAATCATGAAAAATATTTTTTAGTACTGTTTACTCGACCATGGGTTTGCGTTTTTGGTTTTATTTGTGCCTTTTATCCTTTTTTTCTCCACGAAGTGATCAATTACCCCCGATAGAAAACCACCTTTTTGCATTTTTGCCATTTGTCTCATGTAATATAATGTTCCACGACCACCCCATTGCTTGTTCCATTTTTTACCAGCCTTTTTGATCAACAAACCTCCCTTTTGTTTCGGTGGGGTTTTTTTTCTTTTTTTTTAACCGTAGCGACACCAGTCCCGCCCAAAACTGCATCTGAGAAACTTTTAAAAAATCCACCGCGTTGAATTGCTGAACCTTCGACTGTTCGTTTTGTCCACGGTATTGCTTTTGCACGGGCAACGCACCCTTTTTTACTGCCGACCACAGCTACATGACTCATAGTTATAAGGAGAATTTAAGGGGTGCAAACCTTTTGTACTAAAACGACGATTACAACAAGTTAAATTAAATTTAGCCTTGTTGTAATTGTTGTTTAAGTTAAAAAAGAATCCTACTAAAAAAAGTAGGTTTAAAAAATTATAGTTTTAATATTAGTGTGTGTGTTCCTTGCTGTTTCGAATTAGGAATTGTGTGTGTGTGTGCGAGTGTTTATATAGATAAATAGACGGAAGTTGGTTTTAAAAAAAAATGTATTATTTAAATATTACAAGCTGAGACAATTTTTTTCTTCAGCAGAAAAGAGTTTAGAGTTTTTTATTTCTTCACGACGATGTATAGCATCATTGCATTTTTCAATTCCGTACGGTTGAGCACCACATATATCACAGAAATCATAATATTCTTCCTTGTTTTGATTCATATATACGGGAATGATCTTTACTAGATGACTGTTTAACCACATGATGACTGGGGCATCTGTTGATAGACTGGGTACATTAAGGACGGGTAGCATTTCTAAAATAAATACGCATGCGTGTATATAAGAATACCGTGATAATCGTGTGCAAGAAGTGAAACGTGTGTATAAATACCAAAATAAAGAGTTAGTATTATGTGTGTGCGTGTTTGCCGTGCATCTATTGTGGCGGAATGGTAACGCATTAGGATGCCAATTCTCAGAAACTTAACTGATAGCCGGTTAGGGAGAAGCGGCTAGTAGTCCTAAGTTAAAGTGAGTTCGATTCTCACCTTAAGATGTAAATATTTCAAATACGTACGCACATTTTTTTATAAATTAAGCCAAGATCTGTAAACCCCATAGTGTAAAACATGAAATTTGCAGACTTTGGATGAATGTTATAAAAGTCTTCTTTTCTTTTTCTTTTTCTTGTTTGGGATATTATTTTTTGTAGACGGCCGAGCAGAGGGCAGACTAATGATAAACAAATAGTTCAGCCTTTTGCACGGCATTTAGAAAAAAATTATTTTCCTTCTCTTTTACTCAGTTCTGTGAAAGCGAATTATTGAATGAATTTGCTTTTGTCAGAACTGTTAAAAAGCGAATTTTTTTATTTCTTTTCCAGTTGTAAGAGATTCATGAAATAATATTTTCAACAAGTTGACGATTTATTCATATATAAAATACAGGAAGTCATCGACAACTTTGATGAGAAAATATTTCCACATACCTGTTAACAGCATAGATAACTTGTAATATGGTAGTCTAGTCGTGGTTGAAGATATGTACGTTGACAAAGTATACGAATTGCTATTTTAAAGATTGATTTATTTAATCGGTATCCTTTTGATGCGAAATGTTTATAAATTTGCCATTTTACATCTGTAAATCGTGCCGGTTTTAAAGTTTCGATGTAGTGATAAAATTCATATATGAAAGCGCACATACGTGTTTCACAATGATGTGATGATGCATAGAGCCAATAACCCCAGTAGTTTAAATGCCATTGAAGATAAATATAATGTTCGCGTATGTTCGTTTCATTGCGATGTGTAGTATGAAGATATATTTTAATTTTCCCGATGGGGTTTCCAATAGCCCCACTGTTTTATTATATTTGTATAGCGTGTCATCACATAAGATCCAACCGACCATTGCATGTGCTAACTTTGTTTTCAGGATAAAACAGAATATTGTCCTGGAGACGAAGTTAGTACACGTCAATCGTCGTAAGCAATGTGTGAAAATTTTAGGCGCATCGAGAAGATAATTTTTGAGAATGACTATAATTATTTACCGCGACCTTGGCGCGGTGAAAACGATAAAGAGCTTCAGTTGGATTTGCTTCATCATGTTATGATGTATATTATACAAAAACAATTACATAAAAAAAATGAAGATGAATTTTTATGTGAGGAGATATGGTTAAAAAAGGTACCGAAATAATGGACGACGAAGGGTTTTGGTACGGGACGGATATTGTAGACGATTTGGCTGTTTTCTATCTATTTAATAATTTAGTGGAAAACGTGTCAGACGAGGATTATCTAAAACCTGAAAAAATGATAATGTTATATAAATTATATGTGGACTATACAGAAAATGGTGCGGACTCGTTTTATGAAAAAATCTATGAATTTGTCGAGGAAGAATTAAAGGGGAATTGAGGTGAGTTTCACATTCGATGTTTCATACCGTTCGCGAAAGGATGGCCGAAGTTTTTGAGAGAATCGTAAAAGATTGGGTATTTGATCAATTTGACAATTGCAACGACGGATGGAAATTGAAAACACTCATTGAGGATTTGATTGATGAAGGTGTAATTCCGGACCATATTGGTCGTGATCAAATTTTATATAAGTTATTAATGTCGCAAATTGAACGTTGTATAACAGATTTAGTTGATGTACCCACCGAAGGGTATATGATGCCCCAAATGATAAGTTGTAGTTCGACGCCATCATTTTTGAGAACAAATATTGAAAATGCAAGAAAATTTGAAGATTTGCGTCATGCCTTAGAGTCGACTACGGGCATAAATATTTATTTGTATCATTGTATAAAAAGTGTAGCTAGTAAAAGATTTAAGAGAAAGTTATGTCCTTGACGCCGACGACTTATTTAAAAAATTGTTCAAGTTTTGTTTGGTGAGTATTTTTGACGCTTTTTTCTTCATCCGCCATTTTTTTCTTTTCTTCATTTAGCCATTGATCACCACACGCTTGAATAATTTCTTCAGTATCAGGGC